TTCATTACGGATAGACAAACTATAAAACATGCCACCTTTTTTTAACCATAACAGAGTGCCTATAAATGTGCGTAAGTGTCCATATTCAGACAAGAGGCAGAGAGTGCAGTGGACCCATTGTAAACAGTTAAAGTAATAGCCACATTCACAATTTCTTTTTTTATATAAAAAAAGGTTGTTTGACAGTACAGGGTCAATTAATGACCTTAAAAAGGGATGTTGGACAGAGAGAAGAGTTTATCATTTTGTCATTGAACATTTAATAAAAATATCAATACTTATACCTTGTCCAATTTATCCTGGGGTTCATCATTTCTTTGCAAGGCCTGTTAAGTATTGATGGAAGAGGAAGAAAAATCTATGGTGAATCCCAAGTGAGTGAACCCACTTTTTAGTTGGTGAACTTGAACATGAACTTGATATGGCTCAATGATATTAACCAATAAATATGCTAAATTAGATTAGATTAGAAAAGATTAGACTGAAAATGCTTGAATTTTGAAAACACTGAATCTCACTATTTATGAAAATTTGACCAACCCACCAAACTCTACTGAACTGTTACATTATTCTTAATTAATAAAAGGGTATGATTTGGTGAGAACTCATAATGCATTGCAAAAATTCAATTTGGTGAATGACCTACCGGTAAGTTATGTGGCAATGAACAAGACACATTGAGAAGCACAAACTTGTAAATGGGATAAATGTTAATGTGCAGACAAAGAACATTCCTTACCACACGATCACTGATTATTTTTTTCTTTTCATCTTCTTCCCGACTTAACTCCTGTTCAATAATTTCTTGTTCTTCTTCCATCCTTGATTCCATCTCCAAATGTCTGAATTCTAAATCTTCAAATATCTTTCTCTCAGCTTCTAAGACTTCAGATTTCAGTTTCAATTTTAGTTCATATTCCTCTTTTTCGCTCTCATCACAAGACTCTAGTCTCATTTCGAGTTCATCATATTCCTGTTCCAGTATTTCAAGATTCTGTTTGGCATCTTCAAATAGTTTGTTTTCCTGATAGAAAGGAAGTCAAGAGACTATTTTTTAAAAACAACATCAATTTAAAAGGTACCTAGGAAGTGGTATTTATATTTGCTCTGCTATTTGAGATGCACAATGAGATGTACATCTTGTTTGTTGGCAAACTGTTGACTAGAGTACCATTTAAGTTTAAGGACTAAATAAGAGACCAGACAACGATCCTTTTTTGCAGGCATCCTGGAGGAGTTGAATATAATTCATGTTTGAGGAATAAATATGAGACTAGACTACCAACCCTTTGTCGTTCCTGTACTGCAGAATGACTGATTTGTCTTTTGAACTGTTTCACAGATTCTACTTTTTCTGAGTCTTGTTGGAGTTGATCCATCTCTGATTTGTGTTCACCTTCCAATAAGGCTTTCTCAATCTCAATCTAAATAAGAAGGCAAACATTTGTTCAGAGAAGCAAGGAAGCATTTAACAAATAAGATAGACAAAATATAATCTGATGTTATATCACAAAAATACAGCAATTAACTAGGTGCCATGGAATGTTAAAATTTTTTTTTATAAATCAATGAAAATATGAACTGTATGATAATTGTAGAGTGGGTTTACAAATATAAACCTCTATGTTGTGGGCAGAATCTTGTACAATAAAAAGAAATATACACCACAAGAGTGAGATGTATAAATGTGAACAAACACAGAGTACCAATTACCAACTTGTATCATAACAAATGATAAAAATGTCAATTTTGTGCAAAAACTAATTATTTGCATATAAATAGTTAACTATTATAGCATTTGTGTTTTAAAAATGCTTAATATCTGATTGATTGTTAAATAGCAAAGTGCAGTAAAATGCATATTGGCATATACAATGATTCCACACACAGGCAGGTGAGTCAACTTTCCATGAATTCTTTAGATTAGTGTACAAGTCATTTTAGTTCTGTATGTTTGTTCACAGTGGGATGTATCAACTTGATAGTGAAACTGGGAAAGGCAATATCAATTGAAAATACTGATCTACCGTATTCAAATTGTAATTTCATTTAGAGAAGTGAAGATATCATCACAAAATGAACAAATCTGAGAGAGGTCTATCTGAGGTATTTACATGTATGATATCAAGGCAATCAAACTTGCGCTTTTTTAACAAGTCGAAAATATCACTTTTTATCAAAATTGTTGAAAATATTAATCAAAATTAGAGAATTGAAGACATGAAAAAACCTGAGAGAGGTCCACCTGAGATTTAGTTGACAAAGTCATCATCAGAGCTACACTCTTTGTAACATGATGAATAAGACTGCAAGTTTAAATGTGCATATTACAACATGTGTGATTCACCTGAAAGTACTTGTTTATGTTTTGCATATGAATGCTGCTTGGACATACATGTGCATGTACACGTGTTGTAAATTAGTAAATAAACATGGTTTTATTGGTATTCAAAAAAGTGAACTGTAACGGTATTATTCAGTTTAATTACATAAAACATTATTTATTTTAATATTCATGTGACCGTGATGATTTACTAATTTGGGTGTTACAGTAAGATATGAACAATAGTGCAAGAGACCAAGTCTGTAGTGAAATGAAATCCACAAAGAACACTATAATATAGCTTTATTGAGGCTAGTTGACTGAAATTATTAAATGTCATCACTGTGATGATAAATTTGCTTTGTACACTTTTTGCCAGCAATATTGTCAGATGATTTTACGTTTTCCACAGGCTCACAAAAATTTGGCTCTTGCAAAAATTAAAAAGGGCGACATAGAACTGATTTGAGGTCTGAGTAAATGAGATTTATTTACTTCTCTCCTAACTTCCTCTGCATCAATATCTAATTCTTGTAACTGTCTTTCATGTTCCTCAATCTTCTTTACGTACTTCTTTCGCTCCATCTCTAAATTCTCCATTTCACAAGTTATCTCCTGGTAAATATTGAAGAAGTATGTCAGTTGAAATGACTAGTATGAACATGGTAAAACAGTGAGTAAACAAAGTAGGGAATAGGTAAATTTCTAAAACTTTCTTGAGAGTTTTACATACGGAACTAGATGACATAACTAAATTATTGAGTAGTCCAGTCATTAAACATTCAGATGTACAAGGTTGGATGGCCCTTCAATCACATTTTCCTACCTGATAACCTTCGACCACATTGATAGAACTCATTTTCACCATGAACATTAGAGTAATGATACTCGATTGGGGAGATGAGGTGGACTGTATTGTAAGTATTCTTGAATGTTAAAAATTTGCCATTTTAATTATGTGCATCAGCACTCTATCATGTCAATACCAAGTTTGAATGAAATCAGTCAAGGCATCAAGAAACGCTTGATGACATATTAAA